ACCCATGGATGTGTGGCCGCACGTATAGGATGCGAACTTTGCATCGCAATCATACTGCGGCAGCTGGCCCGCTGAGTCCTCCATTATTTTGAAATTGGAGTTCTTGATTGTATTGTACTCAGGCGTGCCCACTGGTGGAAGTTCCATGCAAGCTGGATTCTGGAGGGCTGAGTTCTTGAATCCATTTTTGAAGATCTTGGAAATCAAATCCATAACCTCGCTCGGAATGATTCCATCTCCGTAACGATTCTCTGTGCACACCATCATATACTTCGAGTGTATTTTTTCTACCCTCAGGCAGTCTATGCCTCTTGCAATGCTGCATACGTCTTCAAGTAATGAGACCACCGCTGCATCAGGATGCAAGTACATGTCCTTGATGGCCATCATATTGGGGCGGACCTCCGCGATCTGCTGTTCACGGGAGGCGTTCATCACGCCGCGTGCAGGAGGACGCCGCAAGCGCCAGCAGCAATCCTCGCCCAAACGGCTGGAGCCCAAACTCTAGTGACATTCAAAAACATGTGCAACAGAGGGTTGCGACTTCGAAATGACATGTTGCATTTGCAAAGCACAACATTCTTGTAACGCTCGATGCAATATTATGAATGCGTTCGCACGCAAGTCTGGATCATGATTTCCGATATGCGTGATCCCGAAAATCCAAACACATGCATGCGTTTCTGGAGGCAACATCCAAGGAAAACCCGATGCAGCAGCTCTGTTTTCAAGTAAGCATGTGAAAGTTAGCGAAGTTAGCAACTTCGTTAACTCAAGCTATCTACCTCCAAATGCACCGCCCGAGTTAGCCGACTTAGTAACATTACTAATGGTTATAACCTACTTGCAACCTAGTTGCAACTTGCTTATAACCTACTTACAACTGCTGCTAACAATTAGTAAGGCCGAGGGCCTTCAGGTGGGCCACCCTCCCGGGCCACCCCCCCACGCACCGCCCTGGGACACCTGCCCGGGCACCGCCCTGAGAGACCCTCCCGGGCCACCTTCCCGGGCCACCCTCCCGGGCCATCCTCCCGAGCCGCCCTCTCGGGCCACCCTCCCGGGCCCCCCTCCCGGGCCCCCCCTCCCGGGCCACACTGCCGGGCCACCCTCCCGGGCCACCCTCCTGGGCCACCCTCCCGGGCCACCCTCCCGGGCCCCAGCCTGGGAGACCCTGGCGGGCCACCCTCCCGGGCCACCCCACCGGGCCACCCTCCCAGGCCAGCCTCCCGGGCCACCCTCCCGGGCCACCGTCCCGGGCCACCCTCCCGGGCCACCCGGGCCACCCTCCCGGGCCACCCTCCCGGCCGCCCTCCCGGGCCACCCTCCCGGGCCACCCTCCCGGGCCACCCTCCCGGGCCGCCCTCCCGGGCCGCCCTCCCGGGCCACCCTCCCGGGCCACCCTCCCGGGCCGCCCTCCCGGGCCACCCTCCCAGGCCACCCTCCCGGGCCACCCTCCCGGGCCACCCTCCCGGGCCACCCTCCCGGGCCACCCTCCGGGGCCACCCTCCCGGGACACCCTCCCAGGCCAGCCTCCCGGGCTAGCCTCCCGGGCTTGGCTGGCCATAGCAGGGGGGGCGTGTCTCCCGACCCTTAGTGGTGGTCGCACGCGCGTCATCCTCATCATCATAGTCGCCGTCGTCATCATCACCAGCATCATCATCATCGCAACCGCCATCATCGCCACCATCGTCGTCATCGTCAACTTCATCATACCCACCATCGTCATCATCATTGCATCGCCATCACATTCATTCATTATTTTCATCACCAGCACCACCATGATCATGATCATATCGTCACCATCACTGTCACCACCACCATCACGACCATATCATCACAATCGTATCCATCTTCGTCTTACCATCCAGGATCGTCCAAACCATCGTCGTCATCATATAAGACAAATCATCCCCATCGTTGTCGTCTACATCATCCAAATCGTCGACTACATCACCATGGTTGGCAGACGCGCACAAATGCGCGTCATCATCATCATCATCATCGTCGTCGTCGTCGTCATCATCACCAGTATCAGCATCATCATCGTCGCCGTCATCATCGTCATCATCGTCGCCACCATCAATATGTATCATCATATCCACCATCATCAGCATTGCATCACCATCCCGCGATCATCAGAATCATTTCGTAGCCATCACCATCACCACCACCATCACCACCGTATCATCACCATCGTCTCCACCATCGTCATCATCACCATCCATGGTAGTCCAAAACATCGTCGTCAACATATGGAAGAACAAAAAAATTCCCCATTGTTGTCGTCTACACCATCCCAACCGTCGTCTACATCATCATGGTCGGCAGACGCGCCTTGGCGTTGGTCCCTGGCCAATAATACCCCCCCCCCTGCCCGACACGTCCTCGCAACTCATTCAAGACATCCGCGCATGCTTGAGGTTTGTTTGCAACTTACGTAAGGTTCGCGGCCGCGCTCTTCCTTGGGGCCTACTTCATCGCAATTTACTCAGACGCCGCACTCTCGTCACTCAGGGGTTTGTTGCTTGTGCGTGTGTGTGTGTGTGTGTGCGTGTGTGTTGATGTTGTCTTGTATGTGTTGTGTTTCTGCGATGTATTTGTTGACGTCGTTGTTTGTCTTGCGAACGTGCGCGCGCGTCACCAGCAAACACAATATCACCAAACATGACAGCAACAAGTGATGACAACAACAACAACATGCGATGACAACAACAACGACATGTAGACACACATGCATACATGTATATACAGACACATAACAGAGAGAGAGAGGCTAAAGGAGGGGGCGGGGGAGGATCATACAATGCCCAAAGTGGCCCGCCGCCGGCACCCCGAGTTGTTTTTTTGGTAGGGGTGCGCCGACGCGTGCGCGCCTGGGCGGTGCGAGTTTGGGCGCCGCTGCGCGCGCTGCCGAGCCCCTCCGCGGGACGGCGGTTCGGGGGAGGAGGAGTCGGAGGTATCTACAGAGAGAGAGAGAGTGAGAGAGGGAGAGAGGGAGAGAGAGAGAGAGAGAGAGAGAGAGAGAGAGAGAGAGAGAGAGAGGGAGAGGGATATATATATATATATATATATATATATATATTATGACCACAAACAGCACATAAACAAACAACCAACAAACATATCAAACATCCGCAAGAGAAAACACAAAACTAAAAACGCGCAACAACATCCGTCCACAGCCGTTTTGGCCCCGCTCTATTGTGTCAGAGCATTGTACGTACACCAGGCATAAGCACCATGGCCTGCATAATTTCGGATGTGAGTTTCTCCGAACGGCCGGAGGCGCAACACAACATGTTGAACCTCACTTGGATGGGTTGTCAAATCAAGATTTTGGACGCATTTATTTTGTGCGAGGCTGATTTGGACTTGGCTTCCATCGACATGGGTGGCTTGGTAATCATGAGCAATATTTGTTGTCCGACAGAATATAAACAAATTCTCAGAATCGAACACGTTGATCATACTCTTGGCCCGTACACCGCCGTGGTTTGGGGTGCAGTTCGCGCGGTGCTTCCAAACGTTGCATTCCTAACGTTATGCAGGGAGACAGATTTGAACACCATTGGAGAAGTAAATAAAGAAGTTGTGAAATCGAGATCATGGGCAATTACGGTTTAACGCATGACTTGCCATTCGAATGGAAGCCCAAACGATGTAATTGGCAAGATGAAGAAGGCAACGAACTCCTTATCGGTGAGGCGAAGCAGGCGGCAATCCTCTCATGTGACCCATCGGTTTTCTTGGGGACAGCGTTCACGGAGAAAAAATCGACATTGTGGGTGCAGTGGTCCACGCTTTCAGGTGCAACAAGACGGTATTGTTTCTCGGTGAATATGATTGTGCGTTGTCCCTGGGCATAATGATGCACGTGAAAGATGAGCTCCAGGAGGCGGCTAGCTTACGAACGCTCTCGGACCCCCCTGAGCCCGATGAAACTACTAATGCCCCTCAGGTAAGGCACTGGAAGAGCAGCGAGGCCGGCTGGACGTATAGGCAGTACTTGGCACATGTTGTGGAGAAGCGGCCCTACGATTCAATCAACCATCAGGGCTTGTGGGCAGCGTGCATGTGGAAGAAAGCACTGCCGCCGCGCTGATTGCCCGATGCTGTTGACCGAATCGGCGTTCACTCTGACCGAAAAATTAAAAACAGCCTTTGCGTGCTGGTTTCGCCCATCCGCGGCAACACCCCTAGCACGCAGGCTCCGCATGTTGACTTTGTCGTAGCACGCGCGCTTCCAACCGTGAAGCTGCGCGTGTGCACGAAGTGTGTGGATGTATGTTTTCGCGCGCCCTTAAACTGAGGCGATGCGCAGCTTGCGCAACACATCGTTCGTGAGTTTACTTATGATGCGCTTGCGATGCATCATGAAACAACTCAGGTCATATAGATCACGTGTAATCGTCTGGTCATCTCACGCGCCTTACGACGCAAATTGGGTCGGCGAGCGCAGTTATTCGGGCCATCCAGGACTCCCAGGGCCTTCTCTGGCGTTGAATGAAACTAAACTGGCTTGGAGAGCAAAGAACGTAAACAGCAACAACAGTTGGCAACAACAGCAATTAAGACAATCCAGAGTATGAACACCTCGCTTAGCAAGTAACCATAAATACATAGAACAACCAACTATCAACACCTAAGACAACCAATACCCTAAACATCATTATATTGCAAGTGCTGCTTGGGCAAGTGTGAGTACTGTCTGGGAGGGAGGCGGTGCAAGTGCAATTACTGATTGTGCAAGTGCTGTTTGGGCTGCCCGGGGGCGCGGTAAAGCGTTGGGCAGATGCCAGTATTGATTGTGCAATCCTTGGCCCCCTCAAGTGCAAGTACTGTCTGGGTCGCCCGGGAGCGGTGCATCCTACGTCTGGGAGCCCTCTTCTCCTCCTCCTCTTCCTCCTCCTGCTCTAGCCGTTTTGGCTTAAAAACTTAGTTGGGAGTTGTGTTTCTGATCTCAGAGTTCCGCCAGTCAGGCCAGCTTTCTCACCGCCATGGCCCCCAGTGCCAGGAGGCCCGCCGCCGGTCGCGGCGGCCGCGGCGGCGGCGGTCGGGGCCGCCAGTCTCGCGGCGACGGCACGGCGCCCTTTGCTGAGCCGCCGCCCGACGGGGACGCCGCCGCCGAACCTGAGGCGAAGGCCGAAGTCGAGGACAAGCCGCGGCCGCGCAAGGTCCCCAGGCTCGGCAAGGCAGGCCAGGCGGCTCACATGGTCGCCTCGACGCTGGGCGGGAGCCACCAGGTTGGCGACGTCAGGGAAGCGGCGGATGAGGGCGGCTCGGCCTCATCGGGATCGCCGCAGTCCTCGCGCGGCGCAGGCAAGCAGATCCCGGGTGCGGCTGAGAGCAGCTCGCGCGGGGTCACACAGAACATGAACAACAACTTGATGAGCCGCGTCGCGGCAGCTAAGCAGAAGATCGCGTGCCATCCAGACATGGGCAATGTCGGCGCAGCTATGCCGCTACCACTGCCTTCGCGCGAGCAGAGGGACCCCGCGGAGACGTCCACGATCGCGCCCTTTGACGGTGATACGTGCACCGCGTGCCTGACGACTACTCACGCCTACGGCCCAGTTGGCTTCAACATCTTTCAGCTGGACTTGAACGGCAACCCCGCGAAAAGGGCGCACACGAACATGAATAAGTTGAATTCCCTGGTCGACATAGTATTCCAGAACGGTTTCCGAGGCTCCTTTCCAGATGCATTCACTGCCGCGGTCAGCGTCGCGGACGCCACTCAGGACGTTTCGGATACGTTCGGCAACTTAGTCACGGCCTCTCCTCCTGAGATGATTTGGGCCGTCATCCTGGGCACGGCCAAGCTACTCGACACTAGCCCCACTTCAGAGCAGGTGGCCATGCTGAGGCGCGGGTTGATCACCTTCCCAGTGAAGTTCACAGTGGTCGAGCCAGGACCGCCATCGTCGTCGTCGTCGTCGTCGTCGTCGTCGTCGTCGAGGGGCGCCAGTCTCTTCTTCGTCGTCGTCGTCGTTGTCGTCGCCGCCGCCGCCACCGTCGTCGTCGTCGTCGTCGTCTCCAGGAATGGACTCCTACTGGGCGGCTCACAAGTCCCGCGAGAGCATCACGGCTATGGGCGACGCCGTGAAGCGCACGGCCACGCAGAGGTTCTTCGACATCATGGAGAGCAAGGACGTGATCGAGACCTCGCTCGGGCATGAAGTGGGCGCGCAGAGGACGGCGAAGATGTGGGCCGAGAAGGTCGAGCTCGCACCGAACTCAGAAAAGATTTCGGAGACGTACGTTGACGCCTGCTTTACAGTGGGGGCTAGGCCCATGAGCAACGCCCAGACTCAGAAGATCGTGGTGGGGGCCGACTCGAGCGGGACTACGCCGTTCGACAGCATCTATAAGTACGAGGCGGTGGTGAAGAGAGCTCAATCAGGCAACCTGATCCACAGGTGCACGGCTGGGCTGCTGGACCTGGTGACGGCCAAGATGACCACGGCCGGCGAGATCAGCCTTCGCCAGCTGACGGGTCGAGGACTCCCTGGAGGGAAGGGATTGTTAGACCTGCTGATTGCCAAGCAGGAGCTCGGGCACTGCATCATCAAGAAGGTGCACGACATGGGCCTCAACGCATCGACACTCCAGAGGTTGGAGACGTGGATCAGCGGGCACGACGCCTACCGCAGTATGGTCGGGTACAAGGCCGGCGAGAAGGACGCGTCCTGGCGCACTGCGTTGAAGCAGTCCTCTAAGTTGGCCATCGCTCTGTTCGAGGACTGCGTTTTCAAAGTTGACTTCGACTTGCAGATCAAGCAGCAGAAAATCCAGGGCTCGCCGGTGGGGGAGATTCTCGACAGGTCCCCGTTGAAGGAGAAGGTCGACGACATCTACACTGCCCATGTGGCAGAGGGCGACGCGGTGCCGACAGATGCCACTGCCGATGTCACAACGCAGGACCTCCTCACCTCCGACGACGACGATGAGCTCGACTTAGACCCCGTCAAGGGCAAGCTCTCAGACCCCGACCTACAGGAGCAGCTGAAGCCCTGGGCAACTATCGTGAAGAACAAGTACACCAGGGTTGTGAAGCTCATCGTGGACCCGCAGTCCCCAACAGGCGTGGCAGAGGCGCTTTCCACGTGGTGGGAGGGGCTCGACATGCAGGTCGCCAAAGACTCGAACATCGTCGTCTTCTAGGGCGCCAAGCTTTCAGGACACCCGAACGCGCGCGGGCACCTCCGCATTGTTCATTTCAGGGATGCGCACTACGATCGCATGATCAAAGGGTCGCTGGCTGGCCTGACTAAGGACGATCAGCCGGAGGACGAGATGCCCCCGAACGTGGTCTACTGCGTCTTTGACGGTGGCGTGCACGGTAACGATCACAAGTTCGGCAAGCCCTTTCAGAACAAAGATGGGAAGGCCCTCAAGAAGGACAAGCGCATCCTGTTCCTGCAGACCACCGAGAAGTCCTTGAAGGAGCATAGGGGCAACTACTCTGGTGTCTACGGGCTCCCCACGATGGAGTTTGTTTTCCAGTTCAGCAAGGGGGATCCCATCCCTGAGAAAAAGAAGGTGTTCAGCGAGGGCTCCAACAAGGACCCAGTGATCGGCAACTTCGACAAGCCGCCGAAGAACGATCCGCTCACGTGGACGGTGAAGCACAGCGATAAGCCAGGCTTGTACAACTCGGCGTGGATATTGGCTGGAGGGGCAGTTGCCGGCGACGACGCCAAGGCCGACCCTGGGCATGAATGTCAAAGTGCACAAGGAGGTGACCAGTGGAGTGAACGGCGTGGTCAATATCGACCTCACGTGTTGCAACGGGCTGCTCGCGATCCACTCGCTGATCGATGATGTGCCCTACTTCGGAGTGTGCTACTCGGATGACCAGAAGGTGTTGCGGTCACACAAAATCCTCCTCCTCCAGCTCCTGCTGCTGCTCCTCCTCCTCCTCCTCCTCCTCCTCCTTCTCCTCATCGTATTATCTTCCTCTTCCCCCTCGTCTCCTTAACTTATCCCCCTCCTCGTCCTCGTCGCTCTCACTATTTGAGTTTCTGCGTGGGCCCCAGGTGGCGCTCGAGAAATTCATACAAAACGCGATTCTGAGGCTGATGCACACCCCAGGGCACCCATTGTTCGACCAGGCCCTCGCTGACATCATCGCGAAGAAAAGCGGACCTGGACCCGCCGCCGCCGCAGAGACCCCAAGCCCGAAGCCCCCCGCTGATCCCGAGACCGCCCCCAAGGGCGGTAGGCCGCGCAAGGGCGCCGGGGCCGCCAGTGGCGGGGGGGCGGCGGGGGGCGACACTCTTCAGAGCGCCCTCGCTGCGAAGCTCGCGAGCCTGGACGGTTGAGTTGACAGGCGCTGTGCCTGCTGCTTCCTCCGCCTCCTCATCCTCCTCATTATGAGATCATTGCTCGCCCTCCTCCCCTGGCGCCGGTGCTCAATTCTGAATGCAGCGAGGTTGATCTGCGAGGGTGTGCCCGACGAGGGAACTGCGCCGCGAGTTTCTGCTGGGCCGTGCGGTGATACTTCAGTTTGCTGCTGGATGAGATTTCAAGGGGGCCGCTGATGTCGCCTGCTAAAAACAACAAAACAAAACAAAAAACAGCGCCAGTCCGATGGGTGCCGAGGGGAACGAGGAATCACATCAAGGAGAAGGGACGATGGAGGGAGGGGTGGGGGGGGGCAACGGCGACGGCGACGGCGACGGAAGAGGCGGCGGCGGCGACGGCGACGACGACGAGGACGACGACGACGACGACGACGACGACGACGACGAGGATGACGACGACGAGGATGACGACGACGACGACGACGACGACGACGACGACGACGACGACGATTATTTCGGGCTCATCTTCACTGCGCAGGCCGCGCGCCGGCAGCCCCGCCGCCGCCCCGCCGCCGGTGGCGACGACGACGACGACGGCGACGACGACGATATTTCGCGCCCCCGAGCGTCTGTCTCCTCCTCCCCCCTCCTCGTCCTCGTACCTGGAAGGGCCGAGGAGGAGGAGGTCCAGGCCTTCTGAGCATGAGGAGGAGGGAGGAGGGAGGGAGGACGAGGAGGATAATGATGATGATGAGGAGGAGGAAGATTACAAGGATTACCGCAATCACATGAGTGATATAATACCAGTCTTCCGAGCTGCGTCCAGCCGCGGCGACGCGGGGCCCCGCCGAGGGCCAACGCGGCGACCCCCAAAAAAACAATCCTTTGGGAGCAAGGCCTGCTCAGGCTGCCGCCGTCCTCCTTGGGGGTCCTTCCACCCCTCCCCCTCCGCAGCCATTTTGGCTCAATAGTTGAAGTATCGGGATTAAGTACTTTGGCTGGAAGTCGCCGCGTGGGTAAACCACCGCCGGCGATATGGACATGGACTGGGGCTCGGCCGCGATGGGCTTGACATCATCATCAGCTAACGGTCCAACGGCGCGCGGCGCTGCCCAGGGCAAGACTAAGTTCACTAAGGCTACTAGGGGCAAGGGCACGCCTAAAGCTAGAGCTAAGCCGTCGAAGCCTGAGGTTAAGAAGCTCAAGAAGCCGGTCACGAGTAAGCCCGTTCAAAAGCCAGCCGCTTACCATCCAGGGGCTCACTGTTGCTTCTCATTGCCTTCTTGCATCAAGGTGGGCTCGGTCTGCTCGGGCATGGGGACAGACCACTGGGCATTGAAGGCGATCGGGTCTCGCAACTTCGAGTTCGAGTTCTGGTGCGAGTGCGACAAGTCTGCTCAGGCGTGGCTGAGGGCAAACGTGCTAGTACGCCAGGAGTACACCGACCTTTCGCGTGGCTTCGTGGACCAGGCCCCCTACGTGGACATCCTGACGGGCGGATTCCCTTGCCAACCTTTCAGCTTAGCTGGCCGCCATGGAGGCGCGAACGATCCCCGCGGCAACTTGTGGAAGTACATCACTGCGTACATCGAGAAGCAACAGCCTCGCGTGGTCATGCTGGAGAACGTGAAAGGCATGGCTCAGAAGCACGAGGCTACACTGAACGCGATCGTGAAGAAGATCAAGGCCATCATAGACCGTGCAACTGGGGGGCAGTGCTACGACGTGTATATGAATACCCTCAACTCGCTGCACGTCGGGTGCGTGCCGCAGAGCAGGGGGCGCCTCTACATCGTGGCTGTGAAGCGCATGGGTCGGAGCAGTGTGACATTCGAGTGGCCGTCGGATGTTGACCCCCTGGACTTAGGCATCATCTACGACCAGCCACGACCACCCTTCGCGAATTACAGCAACTACCCCCTAGAGAGGTTCAGCCCCATGGTCCAGGCGCACATCTCTAAAGCTTTGGAGATCATCAAGGCCATGGCCCGTGATGAGGGGAAGAAGGCGACGGACTACGGCGTCATCATCGACATGGGCAGCTCCAAACTCAACATGGGAATCGGCTACTCGCCGTGTCTCACGGCGACCAGGTGCAAGGGCCTCTCGTACATGGACCTGCAGACGGCGAAGCGCTTGAGTTGCAAAGAGATGATGCGGCTGCAGGGCTTCACCACCGATGAGATTGCCTTCATGGACTTTTCAGACGTGTCCAACCACACCCTCGGCGCCATGATCGGCAATGGGTTTGCAAAGACGGTCGCCCAGCGCCTCCTGAAGTCTGCCATGGATGCCGCCGAGGCGCCTTAGACACAACACGCCCTGGGGACCTAGATCGTTGCGTCCTTAGTTAGGCGCATCGGTGTGCATCGCGACGATTCAGCCCTCGCCGCGCGCGCTGGTAAACAAAAACGCCCTCGTCATCAGTCATCATCGTTGTTATCATCCCCCTCCTCCTCCTCCACCTCCAGTCTGCACCTGCCGGCGGGGGGGGGGGGGGCGTCCGAGTCCAGTGGCCAGTCCAGGTCAGCCCTTTCAGTCGGGAGTGCCCCCGATTTCTGCCAGTCGGGAGCGCCCCCGATGTCCTGTCAGTCGGGAGCGCCCCCGATTTCTGCCAGTCGGGAGCGCCCCCGAGGGCCTGCCAGTCGGGAGCGCCCCCGAATGCCACGCAGAGGCTCCGACTGGCAGAAACGAATTGCTGGCCAGCAACTCGTTTCTGCCAGTCGGGGGCGCCCCTGACTGGCAGAAACGAGTTGCTGGGGCACGAAATCTGCTCAGCAACTCATTTCTGCCAGCCGCGAGGGGGCCCAGCAACTCGTTTCTGCCAGTCGGGGGCGCCCCTGACTGGCAGAAACGAGTTGCTGGCCAGCAACTCGCTTCTGCCAGTCAGACGCCTCAGGCCGCCCTCACCCCTTCCGATCTCAGATGCCCCCCAGTGGAGGTCGGGAAACCTCGAGAATATAGCGGGGGGATGGGGGTCTAAGGCCTCGTGAGGTCGGGGGCCGCCATGCTGAGCCCGACATCGTCGCTCGGCGTCGCCCCCAGAGCCCGTCGACGCGCGGGGCATCCTCCACTCCCGTCACCACCTCCTCCACTACGCACCTCCTCTGTCCCTCATCGTAGCCCATTTTGGCACGAATTTGGCCACTGGCGTGACAGAGCTGGCACTTGGCTAGCTGCATCTCCTTACCTTAAACTATAAGGCATCGCACGTCTCGACATGACGCAGGAGTCTCAGATCGACATCGGCATGTCGGACTCTCTCGTGGACGGCCTCGGCGGCATTGATGGCAGCCAGCTTGGCTTTGCCGACAGCGACGCTCTTACGTTTCGCAGTGGTGATTGCATCATCCCGCAGTGCAGCCGCGCTTCCTTCATCGCGGCTGGCGCCGAGGCTGATGCGCTAGTTGATGAGGACAGCCCCCCCGCGTCGCAGCCGCCGCCCCGCGCTGTGGCGCGGCCCATGGCGCAACATCGCGATGTTGTGCCGCCCCCCCCCTATCCTGAACAAGTTGGGCGGCCAGATCAAGACGGTGATCGTCGAGGACGTTGCGCCGCAGGCGCCGCCGGCAGCGGCGTCGCACTCGCCGTCGGCAACGAAATCACCGTCGCCCGCCGAGGCCAAGGCTCCGATGGCGCCGGTGGCAGCGGCGCCGCTGCCGGCGAAGGCCAAGTCTTTGTCGCCGCCACCTTCGGCAGCGGCGGCGGCCGCGGCAACGGCGCAGCCGCCGAACGACGCGGGCGAGGTCACGCCGACGTCGCCGAAGCCTCCGTCGTCGGCGGCGGCGGCCGCCGCGCCGAAACGGGCGGCGCAGCCGGCGGGCCCGATCGTCGTCGATGGCGCCGAGCAGCGGCGTC